GGGGGGGGGAGGGGGCGTGCGGCTGCGATTGCAGTGACAGAGCGGTGGCCCGCTGTGGAAGTGCGGGACAGAGAGCGCGGAGGACGAGGGAGGCGTGGAGAAGGACCGTTTGAAATGTGTGGCAACAACTTCTGCAGCTGGCCGGGCGCCAGTGGCGGCCTCCCCACCTCGTCTCTCGCCGTCGGGGCTCTCGCCGAACTGGAGGGCGCCCACATGCGGCGCACGGGGGTGGCAGAGGAGGCCCCGCAGTCAAGCGAGCGGCGGTTTCGCGGGGCCCACTAAGCCCCGCCCCACCCCCCCCCCNGCACCGCCCACCGAGGCCCCGCCCCAAAGGCCAGGCGGCCGCTGAGCCCGTGCGACTTTATTTTTTAATTTGGCTTGATATATAAGCCATGTGAGGAACCTCGGCGTGAGGAGCAGAAGTCACCTGATTTCTCTCACCTCGGTAATAAGCTGGAGAGACCAGTTTTCCAAGGGAAAAGCTAAACTTTTCAGTACACTACAGTCCAGCTAATCCCCAGAACGGTTGGAGACGCCAGTGACAGGCCTCCGAGGCTGCGGAAGTGCATCAGGTGTAAGACCGTAGGAGCGAGCCGATTTCACCGGGAGGATTTGGTGCCTCGCCCGTCGTGGCTGAGGAGCTGCATCTGAACCGGGCACTTGAAAATCGTTGTGTTCCTTTAGCCCCCGGTGTTTGCTCTTGAAAGTTGACAGGCAAAGCGTTTTCAGTTATTCTATGCCGCTCTGCGATGGGAAAGCTGAGAGAAGGAGAGAGAGAGAGAGAGAGAGAGAGAGAGAAAAGGTCTCCAGTGAGGAGTGTTGTGGGAGGTAATGGGGTAATGGAAGTAAGTTCTGCCTGGAGGTGTCTGAGTGTCTGTGCACGCCTAGACGAATATTTGCAGGTCAGGAGGACAGCCTCAAACAGCTGTTTGTGTAGAAGAGACGGTTTTGATTTGTGTTTTAAGTGGGTTAATGTTTTTTCCAAAACAACTAGTTAAAAAAAAATTCGGTGAGTGGAACAATACCCTTAGTTAATTTAATAACATTAAAAAAATAAAATATATGTTATCAATTGAATAAACCAGCGGCTATTCAGGAGGTCCCAGCCAGGGACGTTCAGAGCCCTGCAAGGGCCAGACGCAGACCCTTCATGGAGAGGAGGAGGAGAAGCAAAAGCGTGGCTGCCTGACACGATGCTGCCCTCTGGACTGGAGCTGCCTACCTAGTGGTGCCTCTACGCTGGGCGCAACGAAGATGAGCCTTTGCTTCAGTCCTTCCAAGATGGGAGGTGGTGGGGGGAGCAGAGATAAAGGGCTAATCGATTTCTGCATCTGCTCAAATTGATTGGCTGGGTGGCAGGAAGGGGCAGCAAGTTATGGCTACTGAGTTGACATTTGCAAGAACTGGGAGGGGTCCATGATGGGAGCAGGTGCCAGCAGCCACCACCTCAGAGACAGGTAAGCTCAGTGTTGCAGGAAAGCATGGACCTAAGAATGCTACCTGCTCTTAGGGTGTAATGTTTCTTAATTGTATATGGGCCAAGACTGGAAAAAGTCACAGGGGCTACCTCATGATGGCCACAAAACTCACTACTTCAATGCACTTTGCCATACCTAAGCCTGCTCTAGGTTTCTGACCAGGGCAGACACCAGAAGGATCTGAAGGTCAGTTCTTTCATACTGCTCACGTGCAGGACGATATAGGTGTCTGAAACTCACTTTGTGTTCTTCAAACACAAACTGTTCACATATACACAATTCATCCTGCATATAGTATAAGTGACAACCAATAGACCCCGTGTGTCTTCATCAATAAAATTACTGTCTCGGTTATTACAGGAGAAAAAAAAATGTATATATGCTCTCAATTTAATAAACCCAATATAAATCCGTATCAATAAGGAGTAGCTCTGAAACTATTGGTTTGTGGCCATGAGACTCTAAGGAGGCTGAGGGCTTCTCCAGGATAAGTCTACGCCACCAACATCCTGTATCACAGCCCCTGAACCAGTGTTGCACATCAGTCATTCATTCAACAGACATTTATTTGTTGAATACCCACTGTGTGCAAAGCATGGTGCAACAGATTCCACAGTGAGCAAGGCACTATCCTTGTCCTCAAGCCCTTCTCATGCTTGGATGGAAGCAGAAGAAAACCAGCCATCAGAAGGATATGACGTGGGACAAGTCTACAAGGACTGGGGTGAGGGTGGTCAGGCTCCGAAGCATGAAAGAGCACTGTACAGGATGTTTTGTTATGGCATAGATGAGACTGAAGGAATAAAGGCTCTGGATTGAGACTGGTATGCTTTGCCAAGGACTTGGACTTCTTTTTGAATGCAATTCAGGATCACTGAAGGATATTAAACTGGAAAGTCATGCTCACATTTGCATTTTCAAAGACATCTGTGACAGGAGTGTGGGGATGAAGGTGAAGAGAGAAGCCAGGACCCAGTTATGGTCAGGTGCATGCTGGTTAAGGCGTTTCCACAGCAGGAACAGGAGGAAGGATCACTCAGGCAGCAGAGAGCCAGAATCAAGGATAAAAAGATAAAATGTCAATGTTTATACTTTGGGCAACCCAGTGGATGATGAGGATGCAAGTGGAGAGCAAGTTTTTAAGGGAACATGATGATTTCAGTTTGGGACACATTGAGTTTGAGCTGTGTCTGCACAATGCGAGCAGAGGTGTCCAAGTTGGCAGTTGAAAATACAGCATAGAGGTCTAGTTGTATGTCAAGTTAGGTGTTAGGTCAATTTTGAGTTTGAGGGAAAGCATAGGGACAAGATACCAGAAAAGCTGTCTAGTTACCACCTGAAGACCTTGAAACCATAGTAACCAGAGAAATCTGACTCAACACCATCACCTGAAACACATCTTGCTGGCCATTGAACTGGTTTGCATTTGCCCACATTACAGAGGGCCATTCCATAACCAATATCAGCTGACAGTCAGTTATTGATCACTCACAGAGGACACTGAGTATCGTGCAGTGTACTGGTTGCTGTGGTGTGAACAGGAATGCTAAGGAAACATACAGCTCCTGTTCTCAAAAGAAGGGGTTCCGAATCAAGATGGGATATAGACACTGTGTGGGTGTGCATGTGTGTGTGTGTACTAGTGTGTGCATGTGTGTGCATACTAGTGTGTGCATGTGTGTGAGTGTGTGCACTTGTGCCTGAGGGCTACCTCTCTTGAGATGG